GAGAGCATCCAATGGGCTCCGGTGAGGGAGTCAGAGCTGCGGGGGACAGTTCCTCAGCCTGGGGCTCTGTCTGAGTCATGGGAGTCATGGGATATGAGGCACCTGGAAACAGGTCACAGCGAGGAGAGTCCTCAGGGGGTATGAGAGCTTGCATCGGAGGCCCGTGATGCTCGTTCTCCTCTTCCCTGCTCCTCTTTCCTCCCACTGCCCCCAGGCTGCCCCCATCCCAATTCCCTAGCTCCTTCTCCTTCTGCCCCCCGACTGGCACCACTTTCTCCTTGAGACCATGATCTTCTTGCTTTCTAGTTACTTCCTCTGATTTTCCCACAAAGCTTTGACTTTTCTCATTCTGGGACTCTACCCTATTTTCTTCCAGCACCCACAGCTCCCTGCTCCTCTCTTCTCCCTGTTCTGGACCTCCCTGACCCTGAACCCTCCTCTCCATATCCTCCTGCTCCCACTCACCATCATTCAGACCCTCTGGCTCCGCAGTGAGCTTCGTTCTTTCTCCTTGTTTCCTAAGCATCATATCATCTTGTACCTTTTCCTGTTTTTGCTTCTGTTCTCCCTTTTCACCATTAACCTGCTGTATCATCTGTTCCTCCCTCAACAGCCCATTAACACAAACATCCTCCCCCAGAGTTCCTTCCCCCCAAAAGCCCACTTCCTGCTGTCCCTGCTCCTCCAGAAGTTGGGCCTCCTGGGGATGCATGAGCCCCCGACGTTCCTGCAGCTCCTCAGATGGCAGCTCTTCCCTCTGCAGGGCCGTCCCACTTTCAGAGTCTTCTGTCTGGTTGGTCTCCAAAGGGAGCCCTTCGCAGGGAGGATAAAATCTGGTCTGACCAGAGGTATCTGAAGAGGTTTCCTCTTCTTCTTCTGCCTGTGCAGATCCTAATGTCAAAGAAGTAAGTCCTGGCCAAAATTCCACCTCTTCTTCTTTGCTTCCCAGGCCACTGGAAAATGGGGCCATGTCTAGATGGTCAGTCTGAATGGGGCAGGCCCAGAGTTCTGGGGGAGCTACAGTCCTTGCTTGTCGGCCTGCCAGACTTTGGGGCACTGCCTCCCAGTGTTCTGGAGTGTCCCAGGCCTTGGCCACAAGAGTTTCCTGTTTGGGCTCCACATCTACAGAACCTTCCTTGGGAAAAGAGGGCATCGTCTCAACTGCATAGTCACACACATCCCTTAAGTCTCTCTGCTGGGTTGCCAAGAGTCGGCATTCGTCTCTCCATTTATAGGATGGGTCCTCATCTTCTTGAGCTTCAGGCACCAAGGCAGAGACCTGGCTGCTCCTCATGGAAGCCTCAGGGATAACGCTGAATTCCTCTATAGTAGGGATGGGAGTAGCCGCTCCATGCTGGGCCTCCTCAGCCTCCATCAGGGCTGAAACCTAAGGAGGAATTAAAGACAAAGGTTTCTAACAACTCTGCTTTTACCTATCAGAGGAAGAGGCTGTAAAAAAAGAAGAGCAATGCGTTTCTTTGGTTCCATTTAGGGTCATTCTTTGAGACAACATGTTCTCGACAAAATAAGCAATAGCCTCTATAAAACTCATTGATTTATTTATTCAATAAATATTTTCCTAGCGACCCTGTTACGTGTAGGGCATTCAGTAGTGAATGAGATAAAGATCTTGTTGTCATGGAGCTTGTGGTCTTGTGAGGGAAACAGGTAATAATGAACAATTAAATTATAGCAGAGGACCATTGTCAGAGAGAGCCAAGCGGCTCTCAGTTGTCAGTTCTCTCTAGACTGTATTACGTCATCTTCTGTCTCTCCCTGTCTACTCTTCGGACACTAGGAGTGACTCAGCCTCATATTACTCCCAGAGACACAGACACAGCACAGGACACACCCCAGATCTATTAGGCCAGAGAAGCAGTGTCAGGAGGGGGGTATCTTCCTCCTAAGCTGTGCACATCAGTTAAAACAGGCCAGGCTATTATAGCCAATGTGCAAGGTACTATGGTTTCATCTACTTTATAGAAGGTTTGGAGTTTAACTCATCTTTCTATTTTCCATAGTGTCTGCTGCAGCGTTGTAACTAACCAACAGTTTTGTTTCCAATTCTAGAGGCAGCTGTTGTAAAGTGGGATGATAACAGCCTTATTGGATTAGTGTTGAACTAGACACGTTACCAAACCTTCAAGGAGGCCCACAGAAGTGTGCTTTCTGCATTATCTTACTCTCTCCTTTGCCCCAGTATCCATAGGAATTCTTTGCAGTAATTCTTTTGACCTTCCTGTCTTTTGATTTTGCCCTTCCCGCCTTTCTTCTCACTTCCAGCAGAACACCTCATCCCCTATTTTGAAAAGAAACTAGAAATCGATGGAACGGGATTCCTCTGACTTCATTTCTTGTAATCCAAAGCAACCTGCATTTCCACTCTTTCTATCTTCCGCCCTCAGTCAGGAAAAGACGTGTCCCTCCTTTCTATGCTCTGTCATTTCTAGCCTGCTTCCCTGGGGACCTCATGTGCTCACAGCTTCATCTCTGCTGAACCACCCCTCGGGTATAGAAGAATGTGGAATCCACATTCTTCTCATCTTTCAAATGTCTGGAAGGAGTTGCTCTTATCTGCTGTCTTCATACTCCCACATCACAGCTGCCTCCAGCCCAGCTTCAATAAGCAGCATTCTGCCCATATTCCCTACAGTCTACATGCTGTTAATTCCAGAAACCCTCCATATCTTCACTGTGGGTGGTTCTTGTCAGTATTGGACACTACTGAGGTTAGAAACACTCTCTTGTTACTTGTGGTATTACATTTTCCTGGTTTTATTCCAGTCTTTTAACTAGGTTAAACTGTACCCCTCTTTGTAGCACTTATCAACTATAATTCACTTTACTTTTCCTTTGTAGCATTTATACAATTATAATTATATAATGATGTGCGTATTTTCATTTACCCTCTATTCAACGGATGGTAAAATGTATGAGATTAAGAATGATGTCTTGCGCAATTGTCCATACTTAGCATAATACCTGGCCCACACTAAGCATTTGATAAATATTTTTCACATAAAGAATAAAATTTAGGCCAAAATAAAATGTGATCCTTTCACTTCAATGGAAAATGCCCACCTTTTCCTAAAATCATGATTACCAGTTTACATAGAACTTTAAACATTTAGAGACATATACACAACAAATTAATTTTTCTTATTTCTCATTCTGAAACACTAAGGTTTTCCTGCATACATGTCATTAAAAATAAAAAACTTCTTTAAATATGTATATACCATGCATCTAAGAATCATTGTATCAGATGGGTACCATTATTCTGCCCATTTTACAGATGGGAAATTGAGTTTCCCAACGCATTTTGTACATGTAATCCCGACACTTTGGGAGGCTGAGGCAGATGGGATGCTTGAATCTAAGAGTTTGAGACCAGTCTAGGCAACATGGGGAAACCCTGTCTCTACAAAAAATACAAAAATGAGTGGAGTGTGGTGGCATGTACCTGTAGTCCCAGATACTCGGGGGCTGAGGTGGGAGGATCACTTGAGCCCAGGAGGCAGAGGTTGCAGTGAGCTAAGACCACACCATTGCACTCCAGCCTGGGTGACAGAGTGAGACCCTGTCTCAAAATAAATAAATAATTAATTTTTAATTAAATTCTTGTTTCCTTCCTGGCCCAGATTCCACATATCTAATCAATCACCATGTCCTACTGACCTCATCTGCTAAATATCCCTTAAGACTGTCCCATCCATCTCCACTGGAGCGTGCTGCTACCCTCTTGCCCGGGCCACTGCATCTGGTCACAGCTTGGGCGCTGGCCTCCAGCCATTTTGCGCCTATTCCAATCTATTCTCTATACAGCACCTAAGTGAGTTTCAAAAGCATCACTTCTAGTTTAGATTTTTCAGTAGCCTCTGAATGCTCTTGAGATGAAACCTAAATCTTCAGTATGGGTTATACTCCCTGCACAACCTGGCTCTGCCTTCTTCTCCAGCAGCCCCTTCACCTGTCACCATCTGTCCTTGCATCCCCCAACACACAACTGCCTTTCAGTGTCTTTAGCTCACTGTCTCTCACCTGTAGGGCTTTGCAAACACTGCCTCTCTGCCTGGAATCCTCTTTTACAAAAGAGAATCCTTTGCTTCTCCTCAAATACACCTTGTACTAGTCATGCCATATTTAATGTCTATTTTCCAGGCTACAGCATGAGCACCATAGGGCACAAACACTGCCATATCAACTGCTCAATCCCCTCTGCTTGGAACTTAGTTGGCTCTCAACAAAGATGCACTGCATAAATGAGTGCCGGAAGAATGCAGCGTTAAAAGAGTGTGGCTCAGTGTTTAGTTGTGCCTCTTTGATATCTTTGCTGGTTTTAAGACAACTGCAGAAACCATTTAATTTATTTGAACACCCATTTTCTTATCTATAAAAAGGAGATAAAAGGATTACATCACAGTTCTAGTAAAGATTAAACAAGATGACATAAAAATGTATACTGTTATTCTTAAGGGTCATAGAAATGGTGGCTATTGTAAATACTGCTGATCTGAAAGAGAGAGAATAAGTGTAAGAGAGAAACATAGGATTCATAAAGCTGGCAGGACCATCAGAGACACACAGAAACTTTGCTCAATTTACAGATGAAGAAACTAAATGTCGAAGACCCTAGACCCTTGCTCAGACCTCCTAAGCAAATGGTATAGGCAAACCTGAAGAAAGTCTCTTGACTTAGGTTTATTGTGAACACTTGGATGTCCCACTGAAAGAAAGCTGGAAGGCCACCAGTCCAGAGAAGACCCCAGAATTCTATGGACCCAATGCTGCACCTGACCCTGCACCTTTCTTGTCTGGTCTAGGCTTCAACTGAAAGCTCAGCTGCTCAGAATACTGTCCTGCTGAGCCACCTGTGCATGCACACACACACACACACACACACACACACACACACACACTGTGAGCCCTCCTTACAATCTCTTGCAATAGAGCCTGACATAACCAAACAAGCAGGTTCCCAACTACACTGCAAATGTAGCATGCGACAAGATTCTGGCCGTTCCAGAAACATAGATACCATCTCTATGGGGCAAAGAGGTATGTCTGTCATACTTGTGCACATGCAGAAGGACTTTTATGTCCTTTTCCAGTTAACTGACACCATATGTGATTTGCTCCCTATGTCTAGCCCTTTCGTACAAAACACTATAATCCTTATGGGTGATTTTGTGATGTGGCCCTATTCTCTCAACCACACATTGAATAATATACTTGCTCACTGTAAGACACTTTCTAAAACTTGGCTCCTTCCTGCCTAAGGAGACCATGAGACTAAACCTGTACTCTCTCCTCACCTACATCTGTATTTTCAGCTCCCCTCCTCCATATACACCATCACGCTCTCAAAACAAGTAACCTCCAAATAGAAGTGTGTTTCTTGGTGGCTGTAATCCCAGCACTTTGGGAGGCCAAGGCGGGTGGATCACGAGGTCAATTGATTGAGACCATCCTGGTCAACAAGGAGAAACCCCGTCTCTACTAAAAATACAAAAATTAGCTGGGCATGGTGGCTCACGCCTGTAGTCCCAGCTACTCGGGAGGCTGAGGCAGGAGAATTGCTTGAACCCGGGAGGCGGAGGTTGCAGTGAGCCGAGATCACGCCATTGCACTCCAGCCTGGGCAACAAGAGCAAAACTCTGTCTCAAAAAAAAAAAAAAAAAAAAGTTTGTTTCTGCCACATCTACGGTATATCTATAAATACCACGTGCTACCTGGACATTTTCTGTTTCAATCTAGTGGCACAATGCATGCCTGCCTCTGCAAACCCATTGACACCGTTTCTAACAGTCTTCTTTCATTTGGAAATACCAGTGGTCACCTGCTCAGCCACTGGCTACCGCAAAGGGAGAAATACCTCACGTTCCCTATACTTGATCCTATCTCAGTGATCCTGTTGCAATCAGGCATGACAAAGCTAAAATGTGACAAAGCGAAAGGAAATCTGTAAATCATGGTCTTACTCACGTAAAGGCATCGGGAGACAGTTTTTTTTTTGCTATGCTCATTACGTTAGAGTGCAAACATCCTCATCCCCTTCTCCACTGAGGGTGAATAATCACTGTTTATCTGTGTATAGGCAAAGCCAGGGCATGGCATCATGGGTATATGGCCTTCTTTCAGACCACAGACATTTCACATCCATATAACTTCATCCACATGTGACTTCTTGAGAGGCAAAGCTTCAAGTCATCCCTTTAACACAATGTGTGACAGAGCTATCTTCCCTAGAGCCCACCCGCCAACACCTTATCTCTTGTCTATTTCTAGTCACGAGACACAAAACTGTATTTCAAAAGTATAACCCCTCCCCAATCAAACAGCTAATTTTTTGAACTAAGGCTGAGGGCCATGTATATTTTTGAGGACCATGCTCCCTGGATTTTCTAGCAAGGTTGAGTTCAAATATGCTGACTTACAAATCACTAAAATAATATTGAGGTTAAAATAAGATCGCCACATAAATATATAACTTTATTCACTGTTTGACATCACTGCCCTCAGTACTACTAAGATATCAAAATAGGGGTAGCCTTCTTGACCATTGACTAAAACGTGTGTTCTATCCACTGTAGGAAAGTCCCACCATGCCAGTAAAAACTGTAATAAACATTTCTTATCTATTCCCTAAGGTCTGAAAATGTCACACCAACTGCCTTATAGACCAGATGGTTTATATAAAAACATTATTAGTGTCAATGCTGACTTACACTTCACAAACTCATCTGTGGTCCTGGTGGTGTCCATGCAGATCATATTAGTGTGAGTGATGCGTTTGTGTATTAACACACACCTCGAGGGTGACTTTGTTCCAGTCTACCTTCAGGCACTATAAGCAATCAGCTCCTGCTTACCCCACAGATACTGTGAGTGACCCGGCTCCTGTCTACACCACAGCTGTTGGTCACCTGTTTGAGTCTACACCACTGACACTTGAGTAATGCTGCTCCTGGTGAACCCAAGACCCTAGGAGTGACACCATTCCTGTCCATACCACATAGTGACCGATCTCTTCAGACACCACAAATGACGTATTCCTGTCTATCCCACAGACAGACACGTAATGTGGCCAGGGAACCTCAGACAGACTGTGTTAAGAGCAGGGATACACTCTCAGGGCCCCTAATATATGAAGGCTCCTGACTATTGAGAATCCCTATATTCTGTTGATGAGAGATTCCTTTGCACTCCTCCTGATGTCTCACTCCTCCCCACTAAGACCATGACATGTATTCCTCTTGCACAACAGTCTCACGTAGAACTGACACCCCCAGTCCCATCTTCCCAGCTCCCCAGGACTCCTTCACAAGCCATGGCTTCAGTTTTAGGCCCACAGACTGGTTAACAAATGACACCCATTTTGCCAGGGCCTATGCCAGGAGCTTCTTCATGCTCCAAGTGCGGATAAAACAGGACGTCTGAGACAGAGGCCACATCAGGAGCTTTTTAGCTGGGAGCTGGGATCTCTGGAGTAGGCCCAGGATGCAGGCGAGACAGTGGCGTGCAGTGGGGGAGCAAGCGAGGAAGGAAGTTCTAAAGGAAAACCACCCTCTCGTCTGCTTGACACACCCTTCCCTCTCAATCTGACAACAGTCCTGGCCAGAGTTCACTTCTAGGTAGACAGGAGGGCAAATCCGTCTTCGGAACGCAAGATCCAGGAAGGGAAGAAGGGGATTGAGATCTGGACATGAAGTGGCATCACCACTGACTCTCCTCCACAGTCTTGCTGGAAGGCAACTAAGGATGCCGGGGGTTCTAGAGCTCTGAGCCCCCATTCTAGCCCTCCGGCTCCTACCCCCCGCCCCCAACTGTCAATAACTTCTTTCCACCTGGCTAACTTACGAATGCAATGTTGTGATTCACATGAAGCTTTGGGAGGCTCTCCATCTCTAGGGAACTGGGGTGAGGGGCAGGGCAGGAGTCACCGTTCCAGGTTACAGAGCTTTGAGGAACAGGGAGAGAGGCCACACACAGACTCAGTATGCAAATACCTCTGGAGATACACAAGGAAAGGGCCCGGCCTGGTTAAGGAAAAGGAGCGGATAAAACCTCTCCAGGTAAGGAACAGCCTGGAAAGTGAATCTCAGTTATTCCTTCGGACGCGGCTTAGCTCTCCCCAGGGCGCCGACTTTGAAGCCAGAGCCCTGATTACGGGCCCGGGAGCGTCTGGGGGCAGGGTGCCTGTTTCCCAGGCGGGACCCGACCGGAAGCAAACTTTTAGGCAACGGCGTTTCCCCCGGTTCCTCTCCTGTTCCCGACCAGGGTCTTCAGACGCACACCCGAGCCCGGCCTACAGGCCCAGCCCCCCCATTTCCGGAGTCTGCGCCCCGGACCCCGCGGGGGCCGATCCCAGGGGAAGGCCTGGCTTCCTCTTCCTTCCGGGCCTGCCCCACCTCCGCCGCGCTCCTCAGCCGCCAGGGGCCCGGGGCCGAGGCGGGAGAAGGGCACCCACCTGGTCGGTGTCACATGCTGCTGTCTTGGCCCCAGCGTCCCCTCCAGGTCCCGGCGCCGGCCGCAGTCCCCAGCGCCGTCCCCAGCGCAGGCCCGGCCGCCCCACCCGCGGCCCGCCCCTGGCCGCCCGACGTGAGGGAGGGATCGGGTTCTCCTAGGAAGTTTCAGGTGAGGAAACAGGGACACACCTTCCCGGAGGAGGGGCAGGGCCCCTCCGCGCGCGAGCCCCATTGGTGTGAAAGAAGCTCCCGCGTCAGAGCTGGGAAGTGCCCGGCCGGCGGGGAGGGGAGCCCGGGCGCACGGGCCAGGCCGCGGGCTGTCCACGGGAGCCCCGAGGGCGCGGTGCGCGGGCGCAGGTCGGGCGCGGGCGGGGTGACCCGGGCAGGGGCGCGCACTGAGGCCGGGGCAGCAGCCGGGCTCCGCGGTGTCCTCGGACGCCTCCGAAATCTCCCTGGTGTTTGTTTCTTCGGGTCTTGTTCACCTGAGCCTGACTCTGGACCCGGCCTGTCCGTCCGCAGCCCTCTCTGTGTGTTTGTCTTTTGGCTGGGCCGTGCCTCTGGAAGTCTGACATTTGTGGGTGTACGTGTGTCTTTATCTTCAGGCCTCAGTGGTTTTTGTGTTTTTCTTCGTTGTTGTTTTTTTGTCTGAGATGGAGTCTCGCTCTGTCGCCCAGGCTGGAGTGCAGTGGCGCGATCCCTGCTCATTGCAACCTCCGCCTCTGGGTTCAAGCGATTCTCATGCCTCAGCCTCCCAAATAGCTGGGATTACAGGCGCATGCCACCATGCCTGGCTAATTTTTATATTTTTAGTAGAGACGAGATTTTGCCATGTTCTCCAGGCTGGTCTGGAAACTCCTGACCTCAGGTGATCCGCCCACCTTGGCTTCCCAAAGTGCTGGAATTACAGGCGTGAGCCACCGCTTGGCCAAGGCCTCAGTGTTAATTTCTCCTCTGTGATGTCTCCTCCTATGTAATAGAGTGTCGTCTCCTCCTCCTCCTCTTCCATCCTCCTCTTCGCACTCCTTCTCCTCCTCTTTCCCCTTCCTCCTCCCCCTTCCTACTCCTTCTCCCCTCTCCCCCTCTCCTCCTTCCCCCCCTCCTCCCCCGCCTTCTCGTCTTTCCCTCTTCCCTCTTCATTCTCCTATTTAAGGCCTAGAATTGTGAATCTCTGAAAGGACATGCCCGTGTCCTTCTGTATTCCTGAGTTTATTTTAGAATGATGACTGCATATCTCAGGGTGTATATTCCTTCTGTGTGCTTTCTAGGGCCGGTGTGCGGTGTGTGTGTGAGTGTGTATTTAAATCTCTAAGCCCATGTTTATGTGTTTTCTTATGCCTGTATTTTTTTGATTTTTCAAGGATACCTTGCGTTCTGTTAGTCCTGGAGGCCAAGGCTGAATGGGTTTAGCTCTGTGCCCCTCCAATGACTTCAAAGAATGCCCAAAGTCTCTCGAGCTTGCGTGTGTGCACACACAGACACACACAGAGTAGGAATCCTTTACCTAGGGGACAGAGATTTTTGATGTTTTTGGTTGAGTCAAACCATTCCCCAAAGGCATTCATTACGCCAGGGGTTTCCATGGTGACATAAGTCAAGTAAAATATTAATGGACTCCTTGGCTATTTTGCTCTAAGGAATGCCATGGTCTACAGCCCAAACAACTTGGTTAGACCATTTCTAGATCACTGTGCCCATTGGCTGTTGCCAATGATACTGGTTGAACGTGATCATTAGTTATTTTAAAGGTGGCTGTAGAACAGAATGTAATTAAGGAAGTATAGTCTCTTCTTTAATAGGGTCCGGAACAGCTGTATGTTCAAAGAGTGTGCTACTCTGCTGTGTTACTCTGAGGGATTAAGTCTTAGACAGTTGAGCAGCTTTTAGCCTACTCTAAGCTGCATGGAGTGTATGGGAAACAATAGGAAAAATTGGGATTAGGCTTCAGGTGTAGAATGGCAGGCCTAGCATGTGTCATAGGCCCAGCAAAGGAATAAGAACTGGGAGTACAGAAAGGCAAAAAGTTTAAACTGGGACTGGCTTTACTTCTAGGCTGGAATACATAATTCATTCGCAGGTTTGAGAGGGCCTTTGATTTATAACGTCTGAGCAAAGTCAGTACACTTCTGATCTAGGGCAGAAGTTGTTGACCTCCGGGCCAGGTGTGGTGGCTCACTCCTGTAATCCGAGCACTTTGGGAGGCAGTGGCTGGCAGATCACCTGAGGTCAGGAATTTGAAGCCAGCCTGGCCGACATGCTGAAACCCTGTCTCTACTGAAAATACAAAAATTGGCCGCCTGTGGTGGTAGGCACCTATATTCCCAGCTACTTGGGAGGCTGAGGCAGGAGAATTGCTTGAATGCAGGAGGCAGAAGTTGCAGTGAGCTGAGATTGCGCCACTATACTCCAGCCGGGGTGACAGAGTGAGACTCCTTCTAAAAAAAAAGTTGTTGACCTCTGGCATATTTCATGCTGCCTCCTGGGGGTGGGCAGTGGGGTCAGAGGTGCCGGAGCTGCCTCCTGAACCAGCCTGGCTTTTCTTTCTGCTTCTCTCCAGCTTCCGTTGGTTCTCCTAGATTACAGCTGTCTCTCCTCTGTGTTTCTCGCTCGCTCTCTCTTTTCTCTGAACCTCAGCTCTCATCAACTCAACCACCTCTTGTTCTGCCAGCTCTCACCTGTCAGCATTTTGGTTCCTGAAGTCACCACCCTTGAGTCTTATGCGCTTGTCTAGAGAGTTAAGCATAAAAGGCTTTTCCTGATTTTTCAACTAGTAGGAAAGTTACAACCAATCAGTTTGGGAGTTTGCTGTTCCCATCAAGCCTGTTCCTGTCTGCAGGGTGTGTTTGCATGTGGAGGCCACTCTAGCTCTCCCAGATTTTCTTCCCTTCACTTTTCAGGCTATGGCTCTTGGCATTTTATTTTTTTTCTAATCCATGTCTTAGTGCTTGGTCTTGGTGACTGGGTTTCTTAATCATGCCTGTCATCCCATCCGGAGATTTTGATATTTCATTTGGATCTGTATTTCCTCTATAAAGGCCTAGAGAGGAGAATGATGCACTAGAAAGAGAATGAAATTTAGATTCAGATAGGGGTAGATTTGAATCCTGCCTTCCGTTTACTTAATGTGAAATCTTGGGCATATTAATCTTCGGTGCTTTCTCTGAATCTTCGTACGCTTCATTTCTCTAATGTCTTAAATGGGGATAATAATATTTAATAATACCTACGTCACTGGATTGTTGTGGTGATTCCATAATATAATATACAGAAATCACCTTAGTGTAAGTACCCGATGGAAGTTGGGATGACTTTAATTGGCGATAATACCTTTAAGATCAAGTTATGAGGCTGGGGAGAGGCAGGGAACAATCCTGTGTAGTTCTCGGTATCAGGACTAAGGGAGTTATGGTGACTTTTTTTGAAGCAGGAACTCATCAGTGTTACCCCTGGGGCTGTCATTGTCCTGACTAGATGCTGTCATGGTGCCACCAACCCACATTACTGGCTGCATTGTTCCCACGTGGTGAACTCTCTCTGACTCGCAGCTGGTCCGGTGCTAGTTCTTGGAACACTCCTAAGGTCTTTCTGTCTCTGCTTTTTCCTGATCTTGTGACCCAGCATTGAACCTTTCGAACTGATTTTGAATTCAGTTCTTCTCTTAATGGGGCTCATTGTGGTCTCTCCATTAGTCTCCGTTGAAGTCAGACTGGCTTGGCCGCTATAGTTTTTAGCTATCCTCTTCTATTCTGTTTTTTTTTTGTTGTTTTTTGTCTTTTTTTTTTTTTGAGATGGAGTCTCACTCTGTCCAACCCAGGCTGGAGTGCAGTGGCATGATCTCGACTCACTGCAACCTTCACCTCCCGGGTTCAAATGATTTTCCTGCGTCAGCCTCCCCAGTAGCTGGGATTACAGGTATGTGCCACCACGCCCGGCTAATTTTGTATTTTTAGTAGAGATGGGGTTTCACTGTATTGGCCTGGCTCGTCTCAAACTATTGACCTCAGGTGATTGGGATTACAGGTGTGCGCCACCACGCCCAGCCTGTCCTCTTCTATTCTGATGAGCATAGTTTTCTTTTCTATACCTACTTGGTTTTCCCTTCTTTATTTTCTCAACTTTTGCACATTGATTGGCATGAGCCTAAATTTAGTACCATTCAAGGCATACATACTAATTGCTTCATTCATTTTTTCTTTTATTCATTTACTCAGTATGCATTCTTAGAAATCAGATATACAAAGACAAGGTCTCTGCTTCCAAGAAGCTCTCAGTCTGATTGAGGAGAGAAACAGGTAGCAAATAATGACAGCAGAGCCTGATAAGTGTTGTTATGTTGAGATGGACACAAACTACAATAGAAGCATGAAGGAGAGAGTAGGTGCTACTGCTTGGGGAATCAGAGAAGCATGAATGAATAAGGTGGGTTTTTTTTTTTTTTTTTTTGAGACAGGGTCTCACTGTGTCACCTAGACTGGAGTGCAGTGGTGTGATCACGGCTCACAACAGCCTCAAACTCCTGGGCTCAAGTGATCCTCCCACCTCAGCCTTCTGGGTAGCTGGGGCTACAGAGATGCACTACCATGCACACTTGGCTAATTTTTGGTATATTTTGTACAGACAGAGTTTTGTCGTTTACTCAGGCTGGTCTTGAACTCCTTGACTCAAGCAATTCACTCACCTCAGCCTCCCAAAGTGCTGGGATTACAGGCGTGAGCCAGTGCACCCAGCTAAGGTGAGATTTGAATTGACTTGTCTTTAAAAATACTCTGTTACCTGGTATAGAAGAAGATATAGGAAAAGCATACCACCAGCAGAAGTGAAATATGCAGAAATACAAGCCTGAGTGCCCTCTGTTCAGGGATGTGCAAATGGTGTGGGTTTAACATGAGATGTGGTGAAGAAATGACAGAGAATGAAGTTGGAAAGGTAGTAGGGCAGCCAAATCGTGAAAGGCCTCGTAGGCCATTCATGCTATTGAGTTTGGGCTTTATTTTTCTGGGGATGGGCCTCCTTGGAAGGATTTCAAGCAAAAGCATGATGAGATCAGATTATAAGGTTGGATTAAAAAGAAAAAGCTCTGGGGGCAACGTAGAGAATGGACTGGCGTGGGTAGTGAAGTGGAGAGGCGAGGGAGGCAATCAGATTGGTGGTGTAGCAATTAGAGGGATATGG